TTGAACGAGCACTGGCACCGAGTTTAGCCGAGTGAGGCTGAACGTGGGGGCCTCGCGGACCCCGTGTTTTCATGCGCTTTAGTTCCGCGCCGGGTGCCACGATAGTTGCATCGATGAGTGGTGCGCGCGTGCGTGCGTTTTAAAAATATACTGAGTTCAATATAAAATATTAATAAATTTTATCAATAACAATTCAATGAGTTATTATCCATGAGATGAGTGTGTGTGGATTACGATAAGTTGGATTTTGGCGGGTGATAACGCGACCGGATGACTTTGGGAATGATAAGGAGACGAGCCACAGCCACATTGGACCGGCCTTGATATATTTCACTGTGTGGCTTTTTCAGATTTATTATTCGTATTGTTTTATTTATTGCAAATGTCACAATGTGTCGTGTGTGTGTACAGTGCAGTGTATTGGTGATAACGTAGTGTTTATCAGCGTAATTCAGAGTCATTTAAGAGGATTCAAACTGATTTGTTTATCGGTGGATGGACACTTTTTATTGAGGTAAGTGAGATTTATTAACGAGTGATTGCAATCAGTGGATTATCTTATCATTGATCCTCCAATTTTCGGGAGTCTCATCGACGGGACTGTACAAGTGTAATTGAAAAAATACGAGATCTGTGAATTATTGCTCATTATTTGTCATTGTTTATTGGATTTTCGTAACGGGTGAGCGGACTGCCTGGTCGAAATTACAGGTGTAATTGCCTTTGAAAAATTCCCGCCAGTTTTATTTCTATTTCGATCACGCGTATCGATGATGTTTTAGTTGTCAATTATTTTAGGTTTTGATAGGAAATGCGCGCAATGTGATAGCGAGTGCCGACGGAACCCGTTGCCATGATCAATACCGCGGATATTTTTCATTGGAATTGATAAATGTTTTGGGAAGTCACGACAATGTTGGGGTAACAAGTGGATTTGAATTTTTAAAAATTTTTTTATAATTCATCCGTTCCAAGTGACTAATCGGAAATTCTCTCACGTTGCATTATGTAAAGACGATTAACTTGTTAGAGCGCTTAATGGGAATTAACGATGGCGTGGATATTTCCCTGGGGATTTATGGAAAAAATAGTGGTTTATTCTCGCGCCTGTCTATCCGTGAATTTTAACGTTGAGACGAGAGTGATGAGCGTATATAGAATTTAATACGGGAAAAAATGGTATTCTGTTGGAACAGTCGGTCTCGATGAGTGTAATTAGTCATTAGCAAGTATAATGGATATTCCGGGCTTTGTATTATCATTTATTAGCCGCCAATTGCCTTCCCTATTAGTCGAGAGATGCATTTAAAGTTTTTACTCGAGTGGTGCGTTATCAATATTTTTGGACATTTCACCTGATTATTTTGATATCCGGTTATTTATATCTCATTTTTTATATTTTTGTATAAATATTTTTAGGGAATAATTAATTTTAATCATCAGACAAATTAAAATCGAGTAATAATTCTCTGGAAACGCCATTTTTTCCCGTTTGTTATAATTTCAGTTTTGATAACAATTTCCAATTGAAAAATTGGAAAATGGTAAAACCGGTGATTTATCATTTTTATTGGGTCGCGAATTAAAATCAGAAGATGTGAATGGATTTTTTATCTCGTATCGTACGATTTTGAAATAAGAGTTATAAAAATTGCGGATTAATTTGACTAGAAATTTATTTTCGTTTCATTGTGTCGGAAAAAAAATCGAGATTTTCCTCCAGCCGGTTTCATATCAGCTCCATCGAATTACGTGTAGGGCGATGTCGAGTGAGATAGTCATACCGGTAAATTTGAATAATTGCATAAAAATGTGGGTATAAGAGTCATTAAACTTGAAGTTATTTCGAATACCTGAATGTGTATTTAACTTCTCTAAAATTCTCGCTCCAAATATCCGTCTCGATCGCAACAACAATAAAAGAAAAAAAAAACCAAAAATTAACTCGCACGATTCCGCGTCGATCCGATTTCATTAGCGATTGATTTTGATATTCGATCATTAAAATTATAAAATCAAAAACAGTTTGCGGTCGAGGACACGTGCGACGGCTCGCGAATGTTGAAAAACCGCATAATGCACCGCATTGACCGCTGAATAACAGCTATCCTTCATTTTCAGTATAATCTTTTTGCCTCAGTATTGAGTTACCAATGACTCACAAAATCTCAGAGCCGCGTCTTTGTTGATTACCGACATGATCTTGTATCGTTCCCTCTCTGCATAAACGGTTAAGGGTATCTCCAGCTGATAGTGGGAAACACATGTTAACACGAGTACAAGACCGTGAGGTCAGTAGAAATGGATATAAATAAATAAAAAAAAACAAATCTCAGAGCGGTCTCGTAAATTCAAAAAAGTCGACACGTCATTCGGCAATCCACATGAGTTTATTCATATTTATTATTCAGAGTCATTACTTTCTTTGAATAAAACCCGGGTGGTAGTGAATAGTCGGGTTCTTTTCACCGTCGGGCGCCGATCGGATTCCCTGAAAACTCACAAGTCACTGCAACACCCATGAGAACCCCGAATATGTGTATCATTACTCGATAATACAGACACAGAACACATAATAATTTCAGTAATATATTACCCTAAGACCAAAATCCGTAGATGTTGTAGAGACTTGTTGACTCGAACCAATGATAATGCCTCAGGCAATCGTCCACTTGGACTCCACATTAGAAATTCATCAATTCAAAATTATTTCGCCATCCATAAAAATCACCGACACGTTACCTCAGTTATTTTTTTAATCCGCGATGAGCAGTCTGAAAAATCAAAGGTGACTTCATCAAGCCTATCAGCTACATGACAGTTTGACTTTGTTCCGTGTAACATTCCCAGATTACCCCAAATGAGATAAGATTGTGCATTGGACGTATACCCAAAGACTTGGCTACAAGTGTCCAGACATTCTTATTTATCGCGGGATAAATATAAATGGCACATTGATCCACAATTATTTGTTTAGAATTGATGTTGAAATAGGTTTTACTCCGGGATTAACTCATTGATTTAACTGATATGGAGAAGAAAGAGATGTAGTTCACCGGATTTCCATATTTGAAAATATGATGACATTTTCATGGGCGATGTCTGGAATCGTATCAGCGAATTTCAATGCTCTTTTAACATTTATGGGTTACAGTGAGAACAAAGTTGTCGTAAATATCAAATGAATTGATATTTCATTATGAACTGGTCAGGTTGTTAATGGATTCTCAGATGGAGTGGTATTAACGGGCAGTTTCACATGGTAAAATTTAACGCCAACGTAATTTCGTGTAACCGGACAAATTTATCGAATAAAAGCTCGCCTATCCCTTATCACCTCCGACTTATCTCAATTATTCTCGTTTCGGGGTATTATCGTGTCTCTTTCTTGATTAACCACTCAATGTCAATGGTCTGCTATCAGCAATCCCCAAAATCAGTTGTGGATCTACTTTCGTTGTGGTCAGTACATCGGTTTTTCCCATATCGTGACAACGAGATCTCTCGGAAACGAAAATTCTCCGATTGTTGGGAGTTCAGGAAATCCCGGGGTCAAATTCCGTTCGAATTTCATCGAGATTGTAATCATTATCGCAAATACTCCAAGCATAAGTGCACAATCCCAGGTGAAAGAGGTTTTAATAAAATTACATGTAATTTTCAGTCCGTTATCTGGTCAGAGCTTTTTTAAAAATACAGGTTATTTACGATAATTGTCTACTTAGCAGTCAAATCAGCGTTAATATATATTATTTAATATTTCATCTGGTGTGAATTATTTGCACAAGGTGTCCTTCGAGGACGGCACTTTCTCCCCAATGATCATTTGTGATATGAATTGATTGATCCGCTTGTTATCGTAATCGACGAAGAGTTCAGAGGAGATATTCATCTTCACTCGTTCTCTCTGAATATAATTAACCTCACACCTTGCGCTTGATGATTCACAATGGATGCAACCGATGATTGTTGCGATCTCGGGGCAATATTAATTGAAATGATCGATCGAATCGGATCGTAGATATCAATATTTTTGGAGTCGTTGATTTTTTTGATGCGAGACGGGTATAGATTTTCCGTCAGTTTCGATGAATTCTCTTGCGTTCTTTGAGCCTTAATCTTATCGATGCCCACATTTTGGGATATATCTTATCAGCCATTGTTTTCGAGTATTTTATTTGCCGTTGATCGAAAGACACCCGAGTCGAGGCGATTTATTTTCTCATAGGTGAGAGATCGAGTGCCAAGACAACACGTATTTGTTGGTATACGGTAGTACGTAAGTACATCATTCAGAGTAATAGGAGATGGTTAAATATCGAGATATCGGTGATTGTCCGTTGAATAATCGAATTATCGTGATTTTTTAGTTATCCAATTCAGAATTAAAATTTTTAACGTTTATTTTTAATCTGATCGGATATTTACGCGATATCAATTGAAATGGCTCTCATTCGATATGACCTTGATCGATCTATGAATATTGTTAGGAGTACGTACATTAACTTATACGGGGGGAATAGAGATCGGTTGTCCAATTAAGAGAGTGACACAGAGATGCCCGACCCACGGATTGTATTTCACTATAACCGATCGTCTCCATTGTTCTGCATCACTGCTCATGTCGAAATTTCTCGCTATCAATTGGAACGTGGGAATTGATAAGTTGGCGCCATATTCTCAGGTTATTCTACGTCGTCTATCTCCACTTGTTTTTAATCAATTTATGATTCACCCGGTCAATCAATTCACCCGAGCGTTCCGAAAACAGCGAAATTCCCAGAAATTTTCGAAGCCTCATTAGAAATTCCCAGAACAATCTCACAGCTTCTGAACAACTGATTAACATTATTGCGCGATTGAAAATAAAAAAGGACATGGCGGTTTCAAAGTCCCACCCAGAGTGGATTATCTATCAGTGGTAGATTAATTATCAGCTTTATCACCGAAATCGAAATTTTCCAGAAGTCCGTACTAATGATATCTCATTTTTATTTCAGATAACTCGCGAGTGCTTTCGCCACGGACCACATGCACCCCGAGAATTAATCCCGGTGATGAAAAATCGTCTCTAAAGATCTCCAAAAAATTCCTCTAATTCCCCAATCACTTCACCACCCCCAAACCTCCTCTCGATACAAATCAATTCCCCGGAATAAAAAAAATAAAATCGATATCCTCTAGTCTCAGACTGGAGAATATTTCCAAAAGAGGAAAAAAAATCTAGAAAATCGTCAAAGTAGAGGTTAAATTTTGGTAAAACAGCGGCGCGTCAAAGCGCAAAGTGAAAGGCAGAAAAAATTCTGGACACAATGGACATGAGCAGCGAATCGAGCGCGGCGCGGTGGTATGAACCACCAAGAAGCCTCGAGCCATCGTCAGGTGGTGGTAGTGGGGGTGTAACCGGGGTAAATCCGGACTACCGAGGTTACTATCCCCATGCTGGACCAACCCCACATCATCCAGCAGCAGCAGCCCACTATGCTCACAGTAAGTGCATTCACCCGTCCATTGAAATATCGTGGCATTCAGTAGCCCAAGTATCTTTTCACGATGAGACTATCACCTTAATTACCATAGACTATCTTTAAAATGTCCAAACACGTCTCATTCACGGCTAGACTCGTTTGCCCTTCTCTCAATTCCCGAGGAAAAACGTCAAAGATTTATAATTCCCTGGGTCGATTACCCCCGCCAACATCTTCAGATCCTTTTTTCTTTGGCATGTGCCAAGTATTTAACACGCTTCGCTATAACGAAAACAGCGTCAATGTTATCGCGATTCACCATCGACGCCTCTTTTCATACATAGGTACAGCCGTCCTACGGATAACCCACTGTTGGTCTTGTTTTTTTTTTTTTGTACATATGTGCGTTTGGGAGGGAGTGTGATTCAATTTAACTCTTTGGGTATGTAAAATATACATAATGCATCGTTACATCGTGAAGACCATGGGGAATGTATCCTATATTGTAGGCCATGATGATGACAATGTGAAGTCAAGCATCAAAATTTGGAGGAATGGTGTGCGAGGCATTGGGCCTCAAGGCGAAACTCGAGAAATTCGATCTAGCTTGAATCCCCTGGAATGCGATACCCCTGATTTTTGCCGATTTTATGTGCGTGGATCATGGACGTGACGCCACTGTTATGTAAGATCGTGTTGAGGCTCATCCTTATTCTTAGGCTCTTCGAGAATCAAGAGAAATCTATCCTTTTAAGGGCCGGATAAAATACACGGGAATTATTTATTCGGGCACTATTTTTCTGCGTGAAATATTTATTGATCATTGTCGGAATACAAATGGCATTAAAAAATCCGGGAGTGGAAACAATTTTAAATTAAAATCCACAATTTTTATTTTGGATTGGATGAATTTGGATTTTGATACGACACTGGGAATAATTATTTTTTATTCTCGAAACGGTTAATAAAAATTTTATAACGCATATAAAAAATTTAATGATTGGAAACCCCAGAACTTGGGGTATTGGTGCCAGAAGAAAGGTTTTAACCAAGAAACCGTGGGAATGGAGTACACGCACATTATCGATGCTGAATACAATGTAAAATTGAAAAATATGAAGGAAACATGTACCCGGAGAAGACAGTAGTGAGAGAAATTGAGGAATGAGAACCGAAAGATAATTGAAATTCCACTTACTTCTTCCGTGGAATAAACGAAAAAAAAAAAAAAAGAAAAATGGCGTGACGATTGAAAATGGAAGCTATATTATTGGTGCCAAATAGAAATAAGAACGGTACGTACCTCAGCCAAGGTGAACCGTGGGAATGGACTTTAGTGAAGATGAAGACAATGTGAAACCGAAAAATATGAAAGAGGCATGAGTAATAGTTGATGAGAAGGTGGTGGTAGGTGGAGAAGACAGTAGTGATAGTAGTGGGGAATGAGAGAGGATAGAGCAGTGGTTGCGGCAGACAGGAAGGAAGCGCAACCAACCGAGAAGGCCTCGGAGAAGAGGTGCATACATTACTTGGAGACCGCAGGGAGGCGCTTGATACACCTTTTTTTTCCGTTAACACGACATAAATATGTTTTTTGCTAATAATCAGCATGCCTTAACGGGTTATTCGGTGAATAGGGTGGATTGCATTAGTGCAGGGTATGTCGAACATCGAGTGGAATACATCTGCATTTGTGAAATACTGGCTTCGTAGACTCGGTATGGACTGAAGAAACTGTTGGTGCTAGCGCGACGCCATTTTGCGCAAATGCATACGCCAACTGAAGGCGGAGCCAAAACAGACTTCTCTCCTCGGGGTCATCTCTCTCTGGATCTTCTTTTCATCAATCTTTTACTGCTGTGATCATAAATACCGGGATTGCCTGCACGGAAGCACAAGCTGCGGTTTTTTCTCCGGGGGTCAGCCACCGGTGTACCGACTAAATTGCAATTTAAATCTGTAGCCGAGGGTTCGCGCTTTTTTTTTTCATTTCAAGTGGAAAAATCTGGGATTTTCTGGCGGGATAAAGTGATGTGAATTTTTTGGAAATTCTTTTTTATATTAATTAATTTTTAACATTTCAAAGAGAAAGGATAGTTACAAAAATGTAATTATTTTCATTAGAAATATCAGAGAAAAGAACTCGAAATGGTGAACAATCGATTCACTGCATTCAATCGATAATATAATTGAGGATTAGAAAGTGAACAGTACCTAGACTGCTTTGTTGCCATCGGCAATTAAAAATTACCCCGTACCTCCGATAACATCTGGTAATGACGAGTTTTTGTTCGTCGGTCAATTGAAATCGTTGACATTGGATTATTTTTAAAATAGAAGCCACTTGTAATCACATTGGCATCCCCATGTATTTGTCACAGTGTACCAATAAACATTGAGCGACACTTACATGGCCAGTAACACTTTTTCATCCACGGGGTGGTGAGCAAGTGATTCTGAGAAACACTTGGCTGAACGAAAGCACTCAACCGCGTGAGTAATTGCAGTTTGTTGGACGTTCAAATGTGCGGTAGTTGCATACATATATCCTAAGTATATGCCATTTGAATTGCATGAATTTCCTGACATGATACATACTCATTCTAATGAGTACCCTGAAATATAAGAAATGGAGATATCCGCGTGTAGGCAAGATCTGGGGAGTACATTGATCGATGGAATATCCGGGAATGATAGATTCGCGGGAATATGTCTCGGCAAATGTTCCTTATCACAACTGGAATTTCAATGTGTCTTATCATCTCCATGTGTCTTTCATCTCAAATGAAATGACCACCTCTCGTTTCTACTTTATATCAGCTATTCCCCCGTTTTATTTATTTATTTTTTTTCGCTATTTTATTGATGATCTGGAGGTGTCTTGGGTACCGGCAGTTAAATGCGCGGCACGGAAACCGCACGTTCATGGGACGTGATCGATTCTCCCGGTCCGGTAGGATAAGGCGGCAAACTGCAAACGTCCTCTTGCTGCAACGTACCATCTACGTGAAACGCATCTGGATTTGTTTTGCGTGGAGAGTTGTGAATTAATGTCTCGGTGGAGATGTTTAGCGCGAAATTGATCATTCTTAATGTTTGAGGAGCAAACGCACCCGGGGAAAACAAGATCAATGGGTAATTGAAAAAATTCATAATGAATTTTAAATTCCCAGTAGATACGTCAGTGCATGCGCAGACGGAATTTTCCGATCGACGTATCGTTTTTTAGGAATGGCTGTCGGTTTTCTTGTTAATTCAATTAGAAGGTTTAGTCATTTAGTCATTATTGGAAATTTTTTGTGAAAAAATGTCGAAGGCATGGGTTGAATTACCTCAGTACTCATTACGTCTGAAACATCAGATCCTCGGAATGTGCACTCCTCGGGATCAATTAGTGCCTCCAAATTACACGCACTAAAGCTCATCCTCGCATGCTTGATTCATATAATTACACGTTTTTGCTCATCATGGAAAATCGATGGCTCCACGAGTACGTGACAATTTTCCGATTGCCGATATTTGCCGGGAGCAAACAGAAAAATTAATAGGACGAGTCCTAATGACGTAATTAGATCCACGAGTTGATAATTAACATTCGTGTGGAATTGTTATTCCAATTCGATTGGAGACGAGTTGTAATGAATATTTATTTGTTACAGCGTTACTTTGAATGGGGTTTATGTAATTTCATTTAATTTCAATGGCAGACTCGAGTAATTTCTCACTGATCATGGAATAATTCACTTGATAATGCGTTGTAAACTCCAGGGAGAATCTGAGAATTGAAAAAGAGAAATGTCTGGTAGTCCGGGAAGATCCACTGGTGGAAAAGCGGCGCCGTATTGGACGCCAACTGCTTTCATATATGGCGTTGCCTCCTTTCTAACCATCTCGCTTTTTTTTAACGCATTCGTGCGTATTCTATAGAGTCCGTCTACTTTTCTGTAATGTTTACTGGCATTTTGCTGTCAGAATACATGCCCCGGTGAATTTTTTTTTCAACTCCAAACGATTCTCTCGAGAGGGCAACGGCTATTTGTCAGGGGAGAACACCAGCCCGTGTCATACCGGTGGCAAAAAACTCACTCGCATGTGGGATAAAAAATGAATAAACATTTGCATTCGTTATGTAATTTTCTGTGTGGCTCTTCCTGAGGTGTCCGATCCGCAGAAATGCAATGTGTTCAGAGCGGCGAGCAGGCAAAGGGGATTTAAAAATCATTAAATACCGAACTGAGAATGGGAATGTTGTGAGCTCGAGGTGTGCATATGCTGCTGATAACATTCCTCTGGGTCGATAGAAATATCACCGTGATAAACTACATTGAGTTATATTTATCTGAGTTTCTGTGGATATGCACCAGAGAAATTCACTAAATATTTCGTATTCTTTCGAATTAATGACAATCTTAAGATTCAGAGAAATTAAATCTCCGCGTTATGCTTGAAATCATTAACAATTGGAATTATTTAATTTTTATTGAAAGCATCAACATTTATTTTTTTTTTTATTGCCGTAATTTTGCAGTGATTCCCCGGTCAAATGGCGGTATTTTTGAAAATTGAATAAATTTATTGATGAGACTTTTGGTGGTCTCATTGACGCGATCCGCGAGAATTGATGTTCATCACTCCGAGTTTGTGAACATCGGGAGAATTTTCGAATTGTCACGCCGTTCACATGACAGTATGACAACACGAGTTCATACCGATTGCGCATAGTGCACGAAAGTGGTGGACCCAGAGGCTCGACGTGAAAACACACGGTTCGATATATCGATCCAGCTTACTCGCGCCTCCGTGCCAGGTAAGCCCAGGTAATGCGAGCCGCATGCCGGGTCGACGCGAAACGAGAAAGAATTTCTTTCCATTCGAAATACCTCACTCTCGGGTTGAACGGTGAAAATAAAAACACGAAAAAAAAAAATTGAAACAATAAATCGAGAAGAAATCCCGAAGAAATAAGTGGAGTACTCGTACATATGGGCACAGACATGTATAAAAAAAAAACCGATAGGATAAAATAAGCCATGAAAAATTTGAAATTTACAATCACGCGATGGAGTATCCGGCGTGTCGTGACGCCTCTCCGTTGGGCAAATTGTCCCCATTGTTGACCATGTCTCTTCTTTGCACCAGGATGTCTCGGAATTTCCACTCATGAACCCTCAGGGAAATTAATATTAATGGGTACATCTGAGGGATTACGAGCGATGAGAAAAGGGGAAAAAAAGGGTTAAAATGGAGTAAAAAAGAGTGAGCCACCTTGTGCCGTTGACTTTCAAATGATCAGTTATCCCCGCGAATATGTTGAGAACAAGCCATTTGTATTCATTGAATTCTGATTTACCCAGAATCCCCCTGAAACCTAAAAATAATAACCCCCCGTATTTTTTTTTTCCTCTGCATCGACAGGTAGAATGTCATCGAGTGGTGTATCGAGTGGTGCTGTGAGTCAAGTATGTCGTCCCCACTTCCACGGTATTCATCCCTGGTTACCAAGTGCAAGTGGTGACACGTCGAAGGCCTGGGCATTTCCAACGACAACAGCATCAACAGGGGGTGGTAGCGAGGACAAGCCCCAGAGTCCACTTGGTTCATCCCTATCCCTAACGAGTCATGGAAATGGTGTAACCGGTGGTCACCATCCCTTCTCATTCCCCCCAACACCACCAAAAGACGCAACGCCAGACAGCATAACAACTAGTACTAGTTCAACAAATAATAATAGTAGTAATAGTAATAATAATAATACAACGTCGAGCAATAACAATAGTAGCAGTACAAGCAATAATAATGGAAGTAGTGGTCTTGGTATTGGAACAGCAAGTGGTGGCAGTAGTGAATACCAAGCGGCAGTGGCACATGCAGCTGTGATGGGTGCATTTATGCATCATCAGGATGCACTTGGTGGTGGTACTGGTGGTTCTTGTGATGTTAAACCATCGGTTATGCTTGGACATCATCACGGTGCATCATCACCAACCCATCAGCAGCATCCATCAAATGGCTCGGGACAAGTTAAACAGCGTGAAGGTAATAACCAGTCGGCAAATGCCAATGGCACATCTGGCAGCAACTCGGTCAACGGTCAGACGACAAACCAACAAGCTAACACCACTGGGCAACAGCAGCAAGATTACCAGAATCCTGGTGGTGCTGCATCACCCTCTTGCCGAGACTCGTATCATACCACATCCCACTCACATCATCATCACCATCATCATCATCCCACCTCTGGTACCCAATACGATCCAACAGCTAGTGCATACAATATGTATCAACACCTACAGTATCCAACCCATCATACCCACAATCCTCACAATGGCTCATCATTGTTCTCTGGTACTCATCATACCACAACTGGTGTACCTGGAGTTAGTCCCGATGCTAAACTCCTCGGTTCCACGCACGGCAACACCCCAAATTCGCCCGGTTCCCAACAACAGCAGCAGTCTAAGACAAGGAACAAGTCCAGAACGTCCGCCGGTAAGCGGCACATTATTTTTCTTTTTTTACATTTTATTTTTCATCCTCACTTATTTATTACTTTCATTTGTCTTCTATTATTTTCGTATTGTTTATCCTTATTATCATTATTTCATCACTCCTCTCACTCAGCTTGATTCACGGGTTGGGCTCTTCCTGTTCCTCTCATTAATTTTTTTATCATCTCCATGGTTATGGTTTTGTTGACACTGTCAATGGTTTATCCCCGTTAATTTGCATTACTCCATTCTTCAAAGTTTACATTATCGTTTATTTTTGTTCTTCTTTATTTTTGAAAAATGGACGTTATCGGACTACACCATGAATTTTTGTATTTTGCCTCACCTATATATTGACCTGTTTTGAGTGGCACCCACCAATGCCCGCACCTTGATTTACCAGAGATATGAAAATAAAAAATCTTTTGTTGAACAAATCGAGTTTAAAAACGAGAGAGAAAATAACAATCACTGAGAGCACGTTTTTATCGATGTGGTGTGGCTACAGTTTGTTTCACATGAGCAATCCACCCAGTTTTTGATGTGATCTCTGTTTTTTTTTTCAATATTATAATCGCAATGCTAGTGAGAACAATCCCTGAAAAAAAAATATATAAACATCCAACACATGATTGCCACAGTCACTGGTAATTATACTCTGAGTAGGTCAGTACCATTAGCTTCGAGAGAATTTAAAAAAAAAAAATACCAACCCTAATCTCACAAACAATGGGTTGACGATTGCGGTACCACGCTAATTAGATTCCCTTACTTGCGACACACACTTTTAACGTGTGTGGATGCGCTCTACCGTATCACTCAAGTGGAAAAAGTTGTCAGAATAAATGATAGACACTCGTCTATTTGAGATGAAAAATCAACATTAATTGAATTTATTTTTATTGCATTTATTTGTGACAATATCTGCTGCCATTTGAATCCAGGGGATGACCACGTAAGATCGGCTGTTATCTGCCATTGAGTCAATTGACGACCATTGAAACAACATCATCCTCACACCCATCCCCAATTTCCTCGTCAGCAACGAGATAACACCTCAATCCCCATGATAATTGGATAAAAATCATGATAATCCATTTTCCACAAACTTCTGCTTTTGCTCTGGTAACCGCTTATTGGTATGTCGGCAATGCATGCGAATTACTGATTAACTGTTTCTCATTAAAGAGATGATGAACTTTTTGCTCCCTCAACCGAGTTATTAACTTGATGCATTAGAGTGTGAAAATATCAATTATCTTGAGTTTTCAAAATTTCATCGTCTCTACATCACTAAAAAGCTTTGATAACAACCAAAATAATATAAAAAAAGAATGTTTATACGAGATTTTTCGTGGTTTACTCAGAGAAAAATTGAATTGAATTGCAATTTTTAATTGCAATCGCATAATTTCGAGTTAAATTTCAATTTCAGAAAATCACTCTCGTTTTCATTATGTATTCTTGATTAGATAACATTCTTATTTTATCAATATTATTAGCAATACGAATTTTTTTCTTCTTTTAATTAACGAGTACCACCCGTTTGACGGATTGACAATTGATATTCGTAGAAGGACGCGAGTGTGTCAACTGTGGAGCAACGTCGACGCCACTTTGGAGAAGAGACGGTACTGGACATTACCTGTGTAACGCCTGTGGACTTTATTACAAGATGAACGGACAAAATCGACCGCTGATTAAACCCAAGAGACGCTTGGTAAGTACCTTGTAATTCCTTCATTTGGTCTTCATGTGCGGTATAATAAATCGATACACCGGTGGTTAAAAATCCCTAATGCATTGGATGCGTCCCTGAAATTATCGTTTGATTGATTCGATGTACTCTAGGGTCCCTCCGGTATCGAAAATATTCGGCGACATTCACGGAAAAAATATAAACAACTAAAATATAAATATGGACACTCTGACACGTCGACGTGCGTCGACCACGCCCCATTCGTTTTTTTTTTCGATGAAAATATTATTTTTTCCCCTCGTTATTGCGTGTGTGTGTTCTAGTATCCATGAAATATGTATCGGTTTAAAACCGGGGGATGTCATTCAATGCCCACACATCAGGTACCATACGTACTCTGTAATTTTCGTCACCAACACACGGAAATTTTACGCTTTCCATTCGACGTATGCGGTTGAATATTTGTTCGGGGAGAAAGAGATGTGTCAATAGAATATCCCCGTTCTACCGAATGTACACAGTGATTCTGCAGATTTGTAAAAACACTCGCGAGATTAATATTTGTTGTTGTTGGAAAATTAATCGGCATTCGTGACGAATGATTTTTTCCTTCTATCAACTCAAAGACATTGAATTTTACCGCCCACTCACAGAGAGAATTGAGAAGGGAAAAATTTGTTTTCTGACGTTTGACAATTTTTTATTATTCGATTCAAGAGTTTCTGGTTGGATTTTCTTTGAACCGCAGATTCAAAAAAATTTTATGTTCCAAAAATCCCTTGAAAGACCCAATCAGAGTTGAAATGGATATTCATTGAAATAATTTCACCCGTGCGCTAATTAATATCTCCCCCTGAACACTGAAAAAGTAAGATCTCACAATTTTTCACTGCTTTCATTAAGTTATTCACTCGAGTTATAATAGCGTGTCTCGGCTGGTCGCTCGAGTGATTAAAAAGTAAAAACTCCTCGCGTGTGGATTCGATGAGTTGAAAATTGAAGAAATGCGAAAAACTAAATATTAAAAGTAAAATCATTGAGCGGGATTTTCTCACTTTTCACGTGTTATGTTTTGTTCCATTCCACGGTGCATGGAGACTACACCGAAATTATCGTTTTTCATTGGGACTGTTATTATTATAATGGGGTTGAATTTTGAATAGTCGCTCGTTTTATTTTATGTCACCTGCATGCCGAGCAACACCAATGGGCCACTAGCCTCCCCTTTTTACCCCCCAACATTTCAACCCCCCTCCCAGGCACGATGAGGCAGATAGCAAGGGTTGCAACGAAACCTTCTGTCCTGTTATATTTCTATACACACATGGACGCTCTCCGCCATGTTTGATCCTGCGCGGAGATAACACCCAGACAGCTGGGAAATTCTCCATCTCTTCAGTTCATTTTTTAGTACTTTTTTTTTGTTCAAGTGCTTCAGGGGTGGTACAACCCATACCCGGTCTCATGGGGGTAGAACTTTAATTTCATCCATTTAAAATCCTCGTAACCAACTCAAATGAAAATTTCAAATGCGCCACCAATTTTCGTTCTTCATAACTGAACAATCGTCGATTTATTTTTGACAAAATATTTTACAAGAAATTTTCAAATGTCGGGTGATATTTCAATCGCTTTGATAGCCAGTGATTTTAACTGGCGAATAATCAAATAAATTGATCCAACCCGTACCACAATTTTTGAGCTTCTGCATTCCGTCGACCTCTCATTCTCTCTCGATTCTTATCAATATAGTCTCGCAAGTTGTGGCCTCAGCACTGGGCATTCCTTGGGGACCGTTATACTTGCCTTCTCCACTCAGCACCCCATGGGTCCCAAGTAACTTCGCATCGTTAGGACCCATCTTACGCTGATAAATGCATTTTTCAACCGCCATCTTGCCAATGATTGCATCGACTCCACGATTGAAGCGTCTGTTCGCTAATAAACTCGCGAATAGACAAAACATTGTGCATCGATTCGCTATCATGTACCTCTTGATCCTCCATTCCTGAATGTGAGGAAAAGTAAAGGTCTCGACCGTGACATATTATCCTGACCCCGAGGCTACTCCGAGTGAATATACACCATTATAACTTTTTTAATCCATTAACCCTCCCCCCTCGAAATTCTCCCTCCACCTTTCCACCCTCTTTCGGGTGGTAAAATAGAATTCACATCGCGTTACTCTTGACTCTCAACGACTTGAGAACTTTTTTGCCGAGACACTTTGAGTCACTGCTATCACCAACCGCTTCTTTTTTTTATATCTTCACAATTTAATGTAGCCATTTTCGTGAATTGCGTTTAAATTTATAGCACACGTTCGCCAAGTACGTGAACTGAAATATTCAAATGACACGTCAGAGTATCAGGAAAGGGATAAAATTATTTTAAAATTTTTTATTAGACCTAGACACCTGTCTGAAGTTCAACTCATTCAATCACCAGTCAATACATCATATCGATATTTTATTTTGCAATTCCACCGATTACTCTCAAACTCCTGTCCATTTAATCTATCAAATATCAGCATTTAACCACCAGAAATTACCACAAACTCTGTTTATTTAAAAAATAAACATTTAATAATGCGGAGGAATAGATTGCCTGTAGATTAAGTGGGATAAGATTTCTTTCTTTTTTGAAACAATGGATTTTCTCTTCAGGTCCTAGTCCTGATGGACGTATGGAACTTTTTTTTTCGCGGGAGGCGAGAGGGGGGCGGGTGGGGGGTGAAGAGAGGGTATTTAAAAAATGGAGGAACTGTCGAAGAGTTGATACTATCGGGTCCCAGGTAGCCAGGGTAAAAAGGTTTCGTGGGGTTATCTGGTGAGGATCAATTCTTGTCTCGGAAAATGAATAGATGCTACCCCAATGCGCACGCCTCACACACGCATTGTCCAGATGTGCATGAGTATGTGTATGCCCTCTTGCGCATTGTCCGAAGGTGCTAAAGTCTTTTTTTTTTTTTTTTTTCATGTACGTACCATTGGGCTTGTATATAGATCGTTGTTTCGCGTGCATTCTCCCACCTCCTCGCCATTTCCTTTCGCTAACTTTCGAAGTATTATGTATAAATTCACTTCTCACCTTTACCGCGGGGTGGGGTGGACTTTTTTCCAATTCCTCCATCGCTCATTTTTACACATCGGTTTGAAAATAGCCCCGGCGATTGTTTAGTGGAAACTTTGCATAATCATTTCTCGTAGATCGCGAGAGCGGTAATCAATTCTCGCGGAGGAGCGAATATGTGTGACCGGTCAACGCCCACTTCGGGTTCAATTTCGCCGTGGGGAAGAGGCTGTATACTCACCCGGGGACCAGTTGCTGCTTATTGTAGATGTTGTCCTCTTATTCCTCGTGGTTCTGTATTGCTGAACCCCCCTCCAAAAAAAAATTCGCTGAATTATACCGCCAATGCAAATAACCTGGCATTACCTCTTGAAAATCCGCGTCCTTCATATTTCTTCGGGAATATTTACACGCGGGAATTATCAGGTTCTGAACGAAATTCATTTACTTAATTCGTAATTATTTTTATTGAACATGTTCCTTCAAATGAACTCACGTAATTATTTGAATTTTCAATTACACGAGTTTGAATGAAATTTCGATTAAAAATGGTGGAAAAAATTTTTTATTTTGAAATTTCACGGATTATTTTCCAACTGGGAAATTCGTTGGAAAAATGAAAATTGAGGCAATATTCACTCGTCGTGACTTTCTACCTTCTCCACTATTTCTCTAGAATTTCTCTCGGTAATTAATGTCAGTGTGCACTTGCGGAAAAAAATGGTGGTAATTATCGGACATTGGGAATAATCAATCGATGACGGATTATAAAAAGGCTTGTAACACTAAATCTCGTATTGGAAAAACAGAGGCGAGAAGTAGCGTGCGAGCCAATTATATGGGCGTACACCGACCAGTAGAATACAACATGGGTCGAAAAATATATATAAATCCTGACTTCTCTCGGCCCCCGAGAGTAAACGAGTGAGAAGGCAACGAAACGAAGCCGTAGTAACCTATTAACTTGTAAATTGCTTCCGACTGTGGGCGAATGTAGAGAGTTGGAGCGCATAAATTCGCTAAATAAAACAGTTGCAATGATTGCGATGGACATGTGACGGTTTCGTGTGCCACTCGTGTATTCTCGTTTGTTCCATATCACCAGAACGACATAACGTTATGTATTTGTCAATTGAAACAATAAGGGGTTTAAAAAAAAAAAAGCTGAAAAATTTATCGGGAATTCATGGGCCATCGATCTATCGGGCCGATCGATCAGAGTCATTTGAATAAGAATAACGGATGCGTGATCGCGGTAGCTAACTAGATATCTACTGTTTTTCGAGATATCGAGTACCACGAGAATAGTTTACTGACAGCTCTGACATTGACGGAGAGATGCTTTTTTTTTTAGGCAGGAATTTTATTCTCACTCGGGCAATTATTCTCTTTTTTTTTTGACCGCGAGGCACGTTTTGTATTGAACTTAGATAAAGAGCTTCGATACGATCGTTTGAAACTAACTGCCGGTTTTGAGGATCTACAATGTTAAGGGGATAAGAGGTAGATCTGAATCTTTGGGATTTGAAGTTTGATAAAAAAAAAAGAGCCACAGGTAAATCAATTGCTCTGCATTATTGTCTCTTGAATTCCAGTCACGCATTCCGCGGTACGTTACCCGGAATTGTCAAGAAAAAATTAATATTCCAATTAAATAGGATTATAATTTTTCTGCGATTTCTTCTCCTTCAAGTAATTAACGAATTGAGACGTGAAAATGTGAGTTTAATCCGGAAGCGACACGATAAATAAAAAAAAAATGTTATTGAGAATAGAACATACGATATGACATTAACACAACGGGTGTTCACTGCTGAATGAATTATGAATCGCGATAAGACCCCGATATTCTGTGGTACTTACCCCTTGGCAGAGATTGGTGGGTCCTCTCCTCCCCATGGGAGCACAGAGGAAACCAATGGAAGTAACGGTGGTGTCCCTGGCATGAG